CATATCTGGGATGTGACTTCTAATGGGACTAAATATGTCTGCATTAGGATTTAGCTGCCGACTCTGTAAGGGGCTTGCCATTGTCTGGGGCTGATTAAGTCGATGATCAATGTATCCTCCTTGTGTGACACACAACAAATCATTCTTTAACGTATCTAAAGATTTAAATCTAAAGGATTTAGCTGCGGGCTCTGTAAGTGGGTTGCCGTTGTCTGGGGCTGATTAAGTTGATGATCAATGTATCCTCCTTGTGTAACACACAACAAATCATTCTTTAACGTATCTAAAGATTTAAATCTAAAGGATTTAGCTGCGGGCTGTAAGGGGCTTGCCGTTGTCTGGGGCTGATTAAGTCGATGATCAATGTATCCTCCTTGTGTAACACACAACAAATCATTCTTTAACGTATCTAATTCGCTTTTAAATTTACTGACGTTTTCCATTTGTACCTCTTGCCATTGTTGTTAATTTTCCTGTAGTTGCTGCAGACTTTCTTCCTGTTTCCTTTCTTGTTCCAGTTGTCACTGCTGTAATTTTTCTTCTAGTTTATTTTTCTGTTCGAGCTGCCATTGTTGTAGGTTTTTTTGCTACTGCTGTAATCTTTCTTCTTGTTTCTTTTCTTTTTCCTCTAACAACTGCTGTAATCTCTCTTCTTGTTTATTTTGCTGTTCGAGCTGCTACTGTTGCAGGTTTTCTTGCAAATGCTGTAATCTCTCTGCTTGTTTCTTTTCTTGTTTATTTTCTCGTTCTTCTTGTTTCTTTTCTTTTTCCTCTAACAACTGTTGTAATTTCTCTTTTCGTTCTTCTTGTTTCTTTTCTTTTTCCTCTAACAACTGTTGCAATTTCTCTTCTCGTTCTTCTTGTTTTTGTATTGCTGCCATCATGTCTGCTAAGCTGTAGTTCGATTTGCCGCTTCTCGTTTCCATTTTTTTTTATCCCACTTCTGACACCAATTTGTTACGTCTCCGTTTGTTAATTGATTTTCCGTAACTTCGTTCCGACGAAATTTAAGCGACACAAGTCCTTTCTTAATAAAACTGGTTTATTCTTTCCGAATATAATTTTACCGATACACTCAACTTCAACAATCGCGCTAAACAAACGCTGTAACGTCTCTCGTACTCTCTGACTGCAGTTCAATTACTCACTAACTATACACACATTACATTCCCCTCTTTTATATACCAGCCTACCCTATCTAACAAATACTAGAGCATTCGCCAAGATACTGGATAGTTCTAGAAACAAGAGGGCGTGAGAATTGTCACGTGATCTCGATGACGCAACAATATAGTATTCTATTTTTAGTATGGGTTATTCCCTCCTCTTCTTGAATGTCAGATAGAGTACTCTGCCTTTAGTATGAGCTATTCCCTTTTCTTGTTAAAGTGTTAAATAGAATATTTATTGTATCTTTAGTGTGGGTTATTTCCTTCTGTTCTAAAATGTTAAATATAGTATTCTATCTTTAGTATAGGCTATTCCTTTCTTTTCTTGATTGTTAAATAGAGTACTTTAGCTTTAGTAGGAGCTATTCCTTTCTCTTTTCTCTTCTTCAATGTTAAATAGAATACTCTATCTTTAGTATGAGCCATTCACTTCCCTTCTTGAATGTTTGCTTATATAGTTTTGTTTTATTTATTATTTCCGTCAGTGTGGTTCAATGTGTTAGATTTTGGTTGTTTGCACTTTTTATAGTTTCATGACAATAAGTTTTTGCTTTGTTGTCAACTTTGTTTCTTTGCTTGTTCGCTTCGTATGAGTAATTGATTATAGCCTTAACAAACAGGCTGAAGAAGTAAATGTATTATTGTTATAAAATTTGAACAATCGAATAATAATAATCACCTATATTGTAAGATTGGTATAAAATAATCAGAAATGTTTTATACTTTTCATTATTATTTCTTTTACGCGACGGCTTAGCTAAGTAAAAGTTATTGTTAGTTTTTAATGAACAAAGATAATTTAGTGCAACGGTAATAGTGTTCATGAGCCCCATGCGCCTTTAGGAGTAGGTATTTTGAGGGATTTGATTGGCCAAATTTCCAGGTAGTCCCAATACAAATACCTGAGAGCAACGTAGCTTTCACGTGATCAACAAAAAACGCTCTCGTATGAGACATTCAAATATTGCTCTTTTGTTACTCAGCATTGATTGCCTAATTCGAAGATAACGTGGTTACGTACGTTATTCGGCTGGTCAAACTTCAAGAAAATGTTGAGTAGAGTAAAGTAACATCAAGTTCTATAATTCGTTTGGCTTTATCTAAACTTTTTCTCCCCATAATAAGCTCCGAACCCAAGTAGCAATCGTATAGTCGTCTAAGATGTGGCGCTTGTGGTCAACGATCACAATAAGGGCGACGATACCAAGCCCGTTTTTTAAACTGTGTGTAATACTTATTTGCTTGATTCGACTGTGTAGAACAGAGGTTATTGGTGGATCTGTAAGAACGACCCGAACGTTATCACAGGTGGAGAGTCCGTATATAGTTAAATCCGACCTCGTTGTTGAGGAAGATAGCAAGCTTGTGATAGAGCCAGGCGTGGAAGTACAGTTTCAAGCAGGAGTAGGCATAACAGTGAAAGGAACATTGGTGGCCGAGGTAAGAATATTCTAATGTTATATTAGATTTAGACACTATATTTCTTGCTGCCATAACCTGTGGTAGACATATCAAGAAATAAAGGACGTGACAGGCTAGGTAGGAATCGGGTTTTTGAGCAAACACCCAATAATGGGAGTACTACATCGACTGTTATTGTTTAATGGATAATCTATTTCTGTAATTGACGTCTATAATTAAATCAGACCGTAGAGAGAGAGAAATTGTAATGAAATATATAGACATTGTTTTTAAGCCAAATCAAATCCGGCTAAATACATGTACAACATGTCGGACAAACTAGGCCTCATTACTCGAGCATTTTCTCCTGTTGTTCTCCAGTCTCGAACATTTCATTTTTTTTTCACGCTGATAAATATATTTTCCCAAGACAACAAACGCTTTAATATGTAGACTAAAAACCAAGCATAAAGAGACAATCCCAACAAATATCACAATAAACTATCAAGATTGTGATAATTGCTGTAGACGAGCCTTAGGAAGCAAGTAACATCCTGTGCGGTATAAACACTGTTCAGCCAATATTTATGTGAACTTTCACTGTGGAAATGACTAATGAACAATTTTATCCTCCTTGTAGAGGTCAGAGGCTCGTTTTTTATACTTATCTATCGACAACAAGGTTGACATTTATTTTCTGTCAAAAGCGTTTTCTTTAACCTATTGGTATTACACACACAAACGACGCAGTTCATATTTACTATGAAATAGATAATAAATAGGAGATAGAGATGTGCACCAACTCGATAAGGAATAGGATTGGTTATCACTTTGTGCCTAACTCCATATAACTTTATTTTTTTAAAATTAAAGATCTGTTTAAAAATAAAATATTACTCACGAAGAAACTCGTATGGAATAAATGTAAGGTATTTTATATATCCGTTTTTTTTTCTAGCTAGGGACATGGCGATAATTAAACTATATGCGTGTTGGTAACTTAAATACGTACAACAATTCATCCAAAATTCCAAACAGGCTTAACAAATTTATTAGGAAACGATATGTGTGTGTGTATATATATATATGTGTGTGTGCGTGTATATATGTGTGTGTGTGTGTATATATATATGTGTGTGTGCGTGTATATATATGTGTGTGTGTATATATATATATGTGTGTGTGCGTGTATATATATGTGTGTGTGTATATATATATATATATGTGTGTATATATATGTG